ATATTAAACCGAGCCCAAACCGAACCTAAGCCCACCTTACCTACGACCTAATGATCATGTGGAGGGTCCAAATTATTTAATCCCATTTCTAAACCAATTAGGATTAAATATAAGCTTCTATAAGTTTCTAAAAGATCCTAATTATCCTTTTTGAAAAGATAAGATTAAATAGTTTGAAAGTGAATAAAACTCCTTTTTTTGAAAATCCTATTTCTATCCGAATTGAAAGACGTTCAAAGATAGACAGATATTATTTTCGTGCCTCATATTTTTTATCGAAATTTTATATGGTTGGATAGCTCTTGAAATTATCTTTCCAATGATGTATTATAATATCAATTCCGAGCTATAACGGAAAAGATATGAATAAAATGTCAAACTCTATCCAAAACTGACATCGTCTCACTATTTCGGCCATATCTTTTATTCTAAAAAATATTTTAGTCTTATTCTAATTGGTTTAGAAAGTAGACTTCAAGAGATTTTCAACAATATCTTATTCATCTTATTCCGATTTCTGGATCAAAAGATATGATAAAAACAAAAATTGCAAAAACTGTTGTCTATCGCAAGAGTTTTAATCCGATTCGAACTCGATCTTTTCTTGATTCTTCGACCCTCTTTTTTCTCTATAAATAGAGGTCATGTCTCCCCTTTTTTAAAACATAAACAAGCTTGATCATAAAATCATTCTTTTCTCCCTCTTTAGCCTAAACACTAGCCTCCCCATTCTTTCAGTATTTCTTCCTTTAAGCACTCCAAGGAGTCCATACAATACTTGAAGTTCTATACTTACCAAGGCGTGATAGGTAGAATTAACTGAGGGTTTGGACCAAATTAACTCTACTTTTTATTTAATTTAATTTAATTTCCATTTGATTTATTTTTATTAAAGTTACTAATAGTTTATTCATGATGTAGCAATTCAAGGAAACGCGGAAAGTGAGTAGTTAATCATTTAATTACTCTTATTTTATTTTATATTGTTAGTATCATGATTAGGTTATTTTATATTTAATTTGACTGACGATATTATTGTTAAATTGCTTCCAATATTAATGTTTATTCTATTATTTATTGATCACCATATTGCATGTTTAAAGGAAATATGTAATTGAAAATCACGCCTAATAAGATAGTTTGGACAACCGGTTTAGGTTCCTTTTTAATCTTATTGTTTGATCAAGTGGTCACAAATATTTTAGAATTATGTGTTGCATTAATATTCAACCAATTTAGCTTAATTATAGTTTGGAACGAATTGAATATTTTGTTTGTATGCCTTTGAGATTGCAGGAATCACTTTTCACTATAAGAATCGAGTGGAGGCCAATACGGGCGAATGTGACTCCATGACTCACTTCGTACCATCATCCCCGATCCTCCTTTTGTGGTTCCGAACCATATGGAGTTAGTAATCTCATGGATTATGAATGGGGTGTAACCTTCACGGGTCAATCGTTGTTGCCTATCGTTGTCCCTTTATCGTGGTTGCCTTTTATGATCCGTGAACGGTTTACAAGTTCCTTAAAAACTTGTTGGCAGCTCCCTACTTTCCTTGTCCCTAATCGTATATGTTAATTCACACTTCCTATGAGTGCCAAGCATATTCACTCATGCTTTTAACGTAGGCGCACTTCGAGCGACACCTACAATATCTTTACAGACATGAAGTCCATTCTATATTTCATGGCCTTAAGCCACTTATTGAGTTGACACTTACCCAAAGCTTGCTTGTAGGAAATGGGTTCTAACCATTCCAATAGAAAAAATTTAGAATCCACCTTTTCTCATAATTTCAACAAACTGTTTGTTTTGATCCTAAGTACCTACAATAGGAATGAGAAACAATAGAAAACCCAAAATAAAGAAATAGAAAACTATACTAGGAAAAGAAAATTCACCACCCCAAAAAGATGTTTTTGTCCTTCCTAAATGGCTCGGTCGCGATCTTGGGAGACAAGAGTCAAATTCTAAATAAAGCATACAATAGTCAAGGATCCACGTGCGCTCATGCAAAATATGTAGAAGGCTTGAAAAGAATGAAACCTCACATGGTTGTAGCAATAACTCACTATTAGTTTAAAATTCAACAAAAGGGAGCAATTTCAAATTTTTAAAAACAATTAGAATCTGGCTTCAAGGTCCCAAAAGTTCTAAAAACACTACCTTAGCCTACTCTATCCTATAATCAACCAAAGATACTCTCAAACCGTACACTCCGTTACCATTTAAGAAGAAAAACATTCAACTACACAAGTTCAAGGGTATTATGTCCAAAGCAAGCTAGAACAAAACAAAACACGTTGCAAATTTGCCTTGATAGAAACAATTTTATTTTTTTTGGAGTTTTTCAAAATAAAAGAACATGGAAATGCATATACAAATATGCATGACATATATGAATCCATACCCCACCAAACATGATAGAATACCCTCCCCCAAGCTTGAATGAGACAACATACTCAAACATAAATCAAATAATCCATGGGAGGGGAAAAAGGAAGAAATATATCCAACAAACCAACACATGTCCAAAAAATCACCAACCCTTAGAGAAAGAGCAAGGAAGATATTATCAGATGTTGGTGGGTGTAAATACCCACAAATAAATGACCCAACTTAAACCTTTCAAAGCCAATTTCCTCTAGAATTGAATCATGTTTTCCATATGATAGAAATTGTGGTGCCAAACTTCCTTGATTCTTGATCCAAACCAATGCACCAAAGTATATCAAGTTATGTACCTGGCAAAAGGCACACAAACATTTCCATGAGAGAAAATCTATTCTAAAAAGAAAAGAAAAGAAAGTGAAAGCAATAAAACACGGGTTGCTTCTCGAGAAAGGCTTGCTTAAGGTCCAAGCTTGACCGCTCTAGTAAATAATATTGCAACGAACGCAAGAGCTTGTCAAATGCACTGCTACACATCTCATAGGAAAGTAAGTATTCACATGACAAAATGAAGGCATGTAACAAGCTAAGTGCACACATATGAGGTTGAGAAGAGGTATGCTAAAAAGGGGAAGAAGAGAAGGGAAAAACAAGAATGTAAGAAAAAAGAAGAGAAATAAAAGAAAAACAAGAAGGAATTCTCTTCTCAACAAAATATTTTTGGTTGGAAATCTCACCATTATCTTCAAAAGTCATCAAATGAGGCACTTGGGGGACTAAAGGCTCATCAAGAGGAGGGAATATGATAAAAACAGGTAATGACATGGGATAAGAGGAAACAAGATCTAACTTTCTTGAAAATGAGGTGTAAGGTGAAGGAATAGGAATTGCTTACTCACTTACACCACTATCCATTGAAACACAATCTCTCTTATCCAATTCACTCACATCCAAAGGGCTCTCCTCCAAATCATCATTATTCAAATTAAGCTCATTCTCAATCACATTCTCCTCATAGACTTCACACCCCAAATGAACTCTCAAAAGCTTCAAATCATCATCAAGGTTCAAAGAAAGCTCATCAAAGGGTTGAGGGTCGAACTTAGGAGGTAGCTCAAGATAAACATGAGAAGTACAATCTCCCTCTAAAAAGTCCTCATCCTTCTTGATGGTGGAAAATGTAGAAAAGAAGGGGTCATCAAAGGTGAAAGAGGAAGGCAATGGTTGAAGATTTAAGATAGGAGTTGGAGATTCAACCTCACCAAACACTTCACTCTCATCTTCATAATCATCAAAAGTAAGCTCTACCTCCTCAACCCTCTCATGTTGAACCTCGTCTATATCAAAATCATTTAAGCTCAAAGACTAACCCTCAAAGCAACCACGGTTATCATGTAAAGGAGATCTGGTGGAAGAAGATTGGTTTTCAAAAATAAAATGGAGGAATGAAATCATAATCAAGGGAAGTGGGTGGGGAATTGACTCATTAATTGGTTTTTCAACACTCAAAATCTCTTGGTCCTCACCACCCTCAAACATCCAATCTCCCATGGAAACTACTTCATCCTCCTCATCATCCCTCTCTCTCCTCACAACTTCTCCACTCTTAAAAAATTTTAATGTCCCATTCTTCATTACTTGAATTACCATCTCCTCAACATTAAGAAAAGCAAAAAAATTTAGTTTTTTTTCAACTCCATCTAAAGGCTCAATGGAATGAAATTTAAATTGGAAAGGAGGTTCAAAATGCAAACTCTCTTTAGGAACATCCATCTCTACACCCTTTTCCTCACTCATAGGCTCTCTAACATTCTCCTCACACACTTTGGATCTCTCAAAACGATCATCGTCATCATCTTCCATATCTAACAAAGTTGTAGAAACTTTATTTACATTCAACATTGATGACAATTGACTTTTCATCTCATCATTTCTCCTACAATCTTCCTCATTTTTCTCTTCTATCCTTTTCAACATTTCCATTTCGATAATCTCAAAATATCTCATCTCATTTGGCTCCAAATTAGAATTCATCTCCAATTCTTTAAAGGAACCACTAATTTGATTATGAGGAGACTCAAAGCTAGACTCTAAAGATTGGAAAGATGAAGAGCATTGTGGAGTATCACTACTACAAAAATTGGCAAACAGATTCGTTAAAATATGCCTGAGAGACCGCCTCACAATAAGTCTCTATCTCAGGGGTCTATTTGATAAAGAGACCCGTTCGTTAGAGGGGTCTGTTTTTTAGGACAAAGAGACCCGTGGTAAGTGAAAGAAGGTCTGCTTAATATGTTATGAAATAAATAGTTAAGAAGAAAAACATACCTGTTATTTGAGGTAGGGGTCTATTTGGTGGGTATCTAACAGACCTACTATGTCAAATAACGGGTCTCTTTATTCTCCAACTTTTTAAAAAAAAAAAATATTTTTGTTTTTTATTTGGTGTGGGCAGGTTCGCATTTGAATTTTGAAACTTTTGTTTATTTGCAATATAAAAACTGGCGGATTAATCAATGAATTATAAGTTACAGTTTATGACCACAGAAATAACAATGAATTAAAAAAATTGATGTGATACAAAAAAAAAATTATCCAACATAATATGCAACAAAAAAAATGAATTTACTGAAATTTACAATTATAAATTTATAATTACATTAATAAAGACTTGAATACTACATTTTCCATCTCCTTTTGATTGAGCATTTCTTGTGACGAAATCACGCAAATCTGATAAAAAAAAATAAGACAAATTTCTCTTAATGAAATTATATGAAACTATTCAAAAAGAAAAAAAAAATATATTATATGAAAGCTATAGTAGTACTCGTATAATTATATTGGTGACAACCGAAACTCTATTAAACTTATAACCAACATAATTACCCAGATCTCTGTCAAAAACAAAAAAAAAAAGGAAAAATTTCCCGAAATAATCTCACCTTTGGGCCGTCCGCCCAAAATAATCTCACCTTTGAATTATTTTTAAATAATCCGACCTTTATATCCAATCCGCTCAAAATGATTCCGGATGACCAGTAACCGGTTAAAGAGGTAATTTTTTTTTTTAAGTTTAATTAACAAGTGTCACAACTTGATTCGTCCAAAATTTAAAAATAATTAATTAAAAAAAAGTAAAAGCAAATTAAAAAAAAAAAAAAAAACCACCACCTAAACCACACCACAGCCACCACTATCCCCACCACCACAAAAACCCAGACCTAATAATTACAACCTCACCCAGACCGGAAGCCACTGCCCCACCCAAACCCGAATCCGCCGCCGCCTTGAAACCGACTGATATCCCAAACCAACCCCAAAGCCCCTTCGAAAATCGAAACCCACACCAGACCTGATGAATTGAGGTCGCGCAGCCTAAATTGAGGTAGGGGAAGACGACGTGGCCGTAAAAGGGACAGGAAACGGGAGCGCGGCCGTTAAAAGGGACGGGGAACGAGGGGTGCGGCCATAAAAGGGACGGGGAACGGGGAGGGGGGCTGGGATCGTGCTGGTGAGGGAGGTTGGTTGGTAATTTCGTGAGGGAAGGAAGGAGATGGTGGTTTCGTGAGGGAAGGAAGCGGGTTGTTCAGGGGAGGGGGTTCAGGCCGGCGCGCCGAGGTTAGGGGTCTGGGTGACCGGAGCCACTCGGCTGGGGTGTTAGGGGTGGCGGGGAAGGCTTGGGCTGGTGGTGGTATTTAAATTATTATTAATTTTATTTAATTTTTTTATTACAAAAACATTTAACTTTTTTTAAAATTAATATTATTTTATTTTTATTTTTTGACAAATCTCATAGCGACACACGTCAAGTAACTTGTTATAATAGGTTACATTGGGACCATTTTAAACGGATTGTTTATAAAGGTCGGATTATTTAAAAATAATCCAAAAGTGTGATTATTCCGGGCAATTTTTCCAAAAAAAAAAAAAAAAAAAAAAAAAAATGATTACCCAGATGAGCATAATAAGACAATGTAGAAAAACACCAGTTGAAGCGCACTCAACACCGACAACGGGGCGATTCATCTTCCTCAATCTATTAACCTGACTAACCAAAACAACCATACCCAAATCCTTAAAACTACCAGTGTGACTATTCCCACAATGTTTAACCCACAAATCAAACATACCCAGAAACTATTTTCCAACCTTTCAGCCCAAAACAGATTAGAGTTACCTTCGAAAGCCGAGGGATGTCATTCTCACCAATCTCATGAAGAACCCATTTTTCCTTCGACCAAACACCAGACCCATAAGGCCAATTCTTCTTCCCAACTCGCGAATCGAAAAGTGGATTTCCAATAACGTCTAACAATCCGCCGGAGCGAGAGCGGGAAACGATCTCATTGAGGGAGTAGGACTTGGTGGCGTCGGGTGGCGCGTTGAAGAAAAAAAATTAATAATGAAAATAATCTGAAAAATAGAGTACCAAAAAAAAGATAGAGGGTGAAAATAATCTGAAAAATAATCAACTAATTAACAACATACTACATAGAAAACCAATTACTTCTAACCTTGTGATAAGATGATAGAATGTATAGAGTAAAATTCAGAGAGTGATAACCGGAAGAAAAAAGCAAATGAAATTAGAGTTAGTAGATGAGAAAAAATTCAGAAATTAAGAACGAAATTCATAACAAAACTCAAAGAATTCTTTGAGAAATAAATTTAAATTGACAAACTTTAATTTTCTATGAGAAAGTGACGGCGGATTCATCAGGAGGATGAAGGATTTACTTTGAGGTTAGGCTTGGTTAGGGCGGAGGTTTTTAAGTGAGAGAACATGTGAATGAGTTTAAAGGGAAATATATTAGTATAAAAAATAGTACCGAATAATAAGAGTAGGGGCACTGCAATTTGGGGAGAAAGGGTTCAAGACCCGGTATAACTAATATAAGATCTCTTACAGCAAACAGATCCGTTAGTTAAATAACGAATCTTTAATTGGGGGTCATTTTTCCAAGTTTTGTAGTAGTGTATCATGGGGAAATGAATCATGTGCAAGCATGTGGGGATCAACATTAGAGATATGAGTGGCATCATCAAAATCGGGAATGGGGGCACAATTAGGCATGCAAGATTCATCATACATGGAACATGGAACATCACAATTATCAATAGAAAAATTTGAATAACTATGACCATGATCATAGGTATCTCTAACAAACCATACATAAAAGTTCCAAGCATCATTGATTGACAATGCTCGAAATCTACCATTAAACATGCTTTCAATAATGTCTCTAGTTTGCTCATTCAAACCATGATAACAAATCTCACAACCTCCCAAAGATCACAACCATTGTAACTAATGAAGTTCTCTAGCTTATTAAAGTACACCCAAAACGGCTCATTCTCAAATTGAGGAAACGGGATATTTGCCATTTTTTTCAAAACAAGCAAAAATCAAAATAAAAGAAGAGTATATAAAAAGACCTAGACTCAAGCAATAATAAAAAACACTCAAACATAGACGTCGTTCCCCGGCAACGGCGCCATTTTGACAAGGGGAAAAACTAGGTCGTTGACTAAACCTCCCTAAGTCATACAAATTTATAAACACTTAACAAACCTAAATACAAGTACAGAGGTAATTCAAGGGTCGAACCCAAAGGAACGGTTAAGTTCAAGCGCTCTCAATTGTGCGCCTAAGCTAGGTCGAAGTCGAAGGGGAAGAACTAAAACTAACAACTAACAAACAAACAAACAACCAACAAATAAAGCACTAGGGAATGAGGATCAACAAGTAATCAAGACAATTACAACAACTTGGAAAGAACATGCCAATCAAAGGTTGTGAAGACTAATGATAAGAGCTATCAATTGGAATCAAAGAGCTATCTCCTAATCGTTAAGCTAGATGTCTCTACGAATAACAAACTAGAAGAATCACAATCCAAACAAATCGATAATTGTAATTTCTAAATCAATTGGTCGTGTCATTAGCAATTATAATGCAATCTAGCATAATTCTCAATGCCTAACAGAATTACACACATGCAAACTTACATTAATCACTTTAATCTCAACAATCAATCAACACAATTCCCAAATTAATCAAAATCAATCAATCATACAAGTTCACCCAATCCCTAGCTAAACAACTACTCAAGCATCATCATCTAATAAACAAACAACTAAGAAAGCAAGAATCAACAAAATATCAAGAGCAACTACACTAATCAAGATCAAACATTCAAATCAAACCAAACATACATGAAATTATATAATGTAATAAAATGAGATAGAGTTAGAACTCCTCATTGATTGATTATGGAGATGTTCAATACAATTGTCACCTTGAATCTTCAATCTCTCAAATCCCCAATGAAATACTTCACTTTCTCTCTCTAAATCTACTCCTAAAACTAACCCTAGATTTAGAGAGAGAAGCTCTCAACTAAGCTAAAATTATGATCAAAATTATGTTTTAAACTTCACAAACATCGGCTGAAAAAGGCATTTATAAGAGGTGCGGAAAACGAAATCGAGCGAAGTCGGAAACAGGGAGGAGCGCCCGCGCGGGCAGAGGTGCGCGCCCGTGCATGGGATGTGCATGCCCGTGCATGGGATGTGCACGCCCGTGCACATGGGCAGCGCGCCCGCGTGGCAGGTCAGCGCACCTGCGCGAGTGGGTTTCACACCCGCGCTCTTCTGGGTTTCTTCGACTTCTTCACCACTTCGTGCGCTCACAAATGGGTCTTCGAGTGCACGCAACATGATGATGATAGACACTAAGCATGTCAGGTTCAAATGGACTCTACGGTGGGTTTAACACTATCTTTCATGAGAGCACGACTTGAGAGCGTAAGAGCTAGAACTTGGAGCATCCATTTCCTTGCATCTTGAGATTTCCCAATGCTATGAGCTTACTTCAAAAGCATCTTCCAACTTAGAAAACCACCAATATCGAGACCCGAACCTCGTATAATACCTACAACCAAGAAAAGAGGAGAAATAAAGGAGAAAACACAAGAAAAACCATAACAACACAAAACAAGAGAGAAAAGGGAAGTAAAGAGAAAATGCATAAAACTAATAAGCATTTATTAAGAAAGAAATCTACGAAAAGAAGGTAAAAACAACCTATAATTTTTTTTTCACTATTATATACTTGTATGTGCAATAAAAATATCAAATGATTACATATAATAATAATAATAATAATAATAATAATAATAATAATAATAATAATAATAATAATATAATAATAATAATAATATAATAATAATAATTATTATTATTATTATTAAAATAAGACAATTAATCAAACAATTAAGGGCAAGCCTACGCATCCTTCTAAGGTCATATATAGCTAAAGGTTTCAAAATTAAAAAAAAAAAAAAAAATTATACTAAGCCACATTTTTCAGATTTTATATGTGCAAATTTTTGGATGTGGAAGATGCAATATGTGTGTGGTGATGAGGTTGATTCATCATGTGATAAAATTTAGTAGGTGATGAGACAAGATAATTTCATATTTTTTATTCTCCATGAGAGAAAGAAAAATATGAGAACCAATATTTACATACAAAATAAAACAACAGCAACTTTTTGGTGCACCAGGCCACACTGTGTGGCAGGGTTTACCTGAGTTATTTTTGTTAAAGGTTACCCGAGTTATTCAGTCAAGGGTTCTCGAGTTACTCGGTTAGGGGTTACTTGCGGGGTTCGAATAGGGGTTACTCGAGGGTTTCACACGGTACTAGGGTTACTTGAGGGTTACTCGAAGGTTTCACTCGGTACTAGGGTTACTTGAGGGTTACTCGGTCAGGGGTTACTCGAGTTACTCGGTCAGGGGTTACCTGAGTTACTAAGTTAGGATTATGTAAGGATTTCGGTCACGGGTTACATACTCGAGTAATTTGGTTACGGGTTATTTAGGAGTTAGGGGTAATTCGAGGGGTTACTTGAGGGGTTCGGTCATGGATTACTCGAGGGGTTACTTGAGGAGTGACTCAGTTAGTGGTTACTTGAGGAGTTACTCGGTTAGGAGTTACTCGAGTAACCCCTGACTGAGTAACTTGAGTAACTCCGACAACTCGAGTAACCCCTGACCGCGTGAGTAACTTAAGTAGCATCCGTCGCACAATACAACAGGCCGCATACAAAAAATTGGGATAAACATATCAATTTCTATAAAAAGATGTGACTATATTCATGCTATATGTGGATATAAAAATTCCTATTTTTAGAAGTTGCATGTTAAATTTCAAGTGTTTTAGAGGCCATAGAGAAAAAGATATGACATGAGTCTTTTTTAAGAGGTTTCTATAAAAAGATGTAACTGTATTCATGCCAGTCACACGTAAATTTAAGAATAAAAAAGTTGTCTTTAAAGTAGATATCATTATTTTAAGAGGTTAAAAATGCATGATTAAGACATATATGTAAGTAAATACATTATCACTCATTAAATCATTTTACCTTTAAAATTTTGTGAAATGAATATAAGTAATAAGATAAGTAAGCTGTGCATCGCACGGGTGCTATGCTAGCTTCTCCTAAAATTCCGCACATGGAGATATGAAGCAACTAAGTAAAACCGAAGAAAGTATATCCTATAATTTGGTAAACAAACTAATATGTCAATCCTATGAATTTTTATTTGTCCCATTTTAACAAAAAACACGAGATTTAATCAAATAAAACAATATATAATTAAACAATGTATAATCAACCTAAATTTTTGATTTTTTAGGCGTCTAATAAACTAATAAATAATTGTTTAAATAATTAAATAAGGCCAACAATTATTAAATACTACAGTACATATTATTTTCTACATGGGCACTACCAACCAAAATAATTAATATGTTTATGTTTTGTTAGTATATCACACGTTCCTTGTGAAACAATGAAGTATATATATCCCTTTTTCACCGTGTCAATCTAATCTAAAACCTTACTTTGTTTTAATATTATCAAAAAATTAAAATTATTTATCCTTTTTTTTTTTAATTTTTTACCATATCTTGGTCAAAAAAAGACATCAAACAAAATCCTTACCATTCAAATCCATTAGTTACGGAGTTATTACTACAGATGTTAAAAACCAAAAAATAATTATTTTACAACCTTTTTTGAGCTAATTGATTCCCAGATACTTTTCCAGATTTTGCCCCAATCCTTTAAAAAGGAAGGGGCCAAAATTCCTAATTCTCCAAATCTGGGCAATCAATTTCATTTCATTTCCTTCAAATCACACACAACTGTAAAAAAAAAGTTAATTACCCCATTTTTATTTTTAATTTATTCTTTTTTCTGGGTTTATGGGCTTTGATTTAAATTTTAAAATTTAAATTCATTCCCAGATGTCATTCACCTAGGTATTTTCTAGGGCACTTTCTTTGTTTTATTTCCTATTAAAAAATTATTTTTAAATAAAAGTTGGTTGTTCTTATTCTTATTAGTAGGTGGAAAAGGTTTGATTGAATTGATTGTTTTATTTATGATTTTGTCGGAACACTCCGGCTTTTCTGTTTTCCATCCATCGTTTTCATCCTTTCGTGGGAGTTGCTCTATATATATATATATTTTTTTTTTCTAAATCCTGATTTCGACTTAATTTCGGCAATTAGCATTCAAATAAATCGTGTTTTTCTTTATATCCGAATGTGTATTTGTATCGTCCGAGCCTAAAACTACTTTGAATAAAAATAGCTCGTAAGAGAAAGTGGTGTGATTGTCCTAAAAGAAAAAAAAAAAAAAAAAAAAAAACAAAATTTGATTGTAAAGAGAAGAGGGGGAAGAGAATACTTGGAATCAAAGACGTGTTGAGCTGTCTGTTACTACCTTACCACCACCATACCTGTCTATGACTTTCCCTACGCCGCTCTCTCTCTCTCCTCTCTTCGTCATCTCCTTGCTATATTTTTCCTGCCAAAATCATCTCTCTTCAAATGCCAAATTTATTCTTTGTCTTTTAATTACCTCCCAAATTTCCTCATCTTCCAAATCTTACTTTCCATTACATTTTTTTTGTCCCATTTTTGTTGTTTGTTCTTGTTCATTTCCCCTTGAAATCGTTACAATGCCTTCGATGTTGTAGCATAACCATTACTACTACATTATCTATTGTATTTGTGTAAGTTAATTCGAACCGAACTCGAGAATAACAGGAGTGAAAAAACAAGATGGTACCATGGTGGGGCGGAGGAGCAAAGGACAACCAAAAGCTACACAGAGGAACACCAGTTGTAATCAAAATGGAGAACCCAAATTGGTCGATCTCAGAGATCGAGAACCCATCTTCTGATGAAGACGATTTCATGCCTAAGAAATCTAGAAAATTTCGAGGAAAAAATGCTAAACAACTCACCTGGGTTCTACTCCTTAAAGCACACCGTGCTGCTGGTTGCCTCTCGTCCCTCGCTTCCGCTGTCGGCCGTCGAGTCAAGTCTGGCCGC